ATTTAATTTAATTAAAGTACAAATTAATTTAATTCAACGTTTCATTAGGTTTCGTTTGGTTTTTTTATGTTTTCCTTAACTTTAATTATTATTATTATAAATATTATTATAAGAAATAATATTATAATTTTTTTATTTTTTTTATTTTATATTATTACAATTTTCTATTATTTTTGAAGTTGATGCATAATGAACGAAATATAACATTTCTTCTTATTATGCCCGATTCTACAGTAGCCTTTCTGATTTAATTAAGTCAATGGAATCCACATAAGATCTTACATATTTTCTTCTCATTTCTACAACAAACGATTAACAGTAGTCTGATCCAAGCTAAATATTTTGATCAATTTATTTATTTATTTCATCGACAAACAAAGCTGTCAATGTAAAACAGAAATAAAATTGAAGAAATAAAAATAGGCTACTATATAGAAATTACAAAAATATCTTACTGCGAATCCGACTCGGTGGGGCGATTTTAATAGTCAAATGGCCAGCAATGCTCCCATTCACAGCACAGAGTAGCCAGGCCTAAATAAAGGAAATGGAGATGAAGAAATAACAATCAAAAATCTAAAAGAAGTATAATTAAATTAAAATATAGAGGAGATGTTCCATCAAGGATATACAACGCAAGCTAACCCCTATTATTTTAAATCAGTTTCGAATATATTGGCATATCTTTTGACAATCCTTCTTCAATTATTCTTTATACCTCAATTGATAAGCTCTCTATAAATTATATTTTTTACGGTTTTTTTTTAAACCATATTCTTATAATTGTGGAAATACTTAATACACTCTCTGCTTTATTGCTTGTACAGAGATCAGAGTGGCTGTCTCCATCAAACCAAATCAAACTTGCTGAATATAACAACTCCTCTACATTATGCCAAACAATGTTATTCGCACAATTTTGCGCACAAAGCTATCAGCAACAAAGCCCAGTCAAATGCCAAAATGCTCTCAGCTAACAAAGAGCTTCATCATATGCATACAACAACAATAACAACAACAGCATAGAAGCAACAACAACAGCTAACAACAGCAGGAATAGGAATCATCATTTACATATTTCCAATTCAGCAAACAGCACTTGGCGATAAAAGCAGTTCGTGCTACCACTACCATTACCAAAAAAAAAAATGTTGCTGCCAGAAAAACAATTAAAACTTTGTCTTTAACACTTTGGCTAACTGGCAAATTCCCCAGCCGCTTTACCCTCCCCCCCCTCCCTCACAACCACCGACTACTGCTGTACAACAACAAACGCCTGCGACCTTTTTCATTTGTCAAAGAGCGCGCCTCGTTGTGACAGATAGACTGAGAGACGAGCTGGCACTGCACATTCAACCCACTTATCAAATAATTGTCCTCATATTATGGCAACTACATACTAAGTGGGGGTCACACACATACACATGCATACATACTCATACACCCACAGAGGCGCACACACATCCACAACAAAGCGGGAGCTCGTCGTTGAGAAGGACAATGTAGGAAATTGAAATAATCTGCCAAGCCACCCACATACACATTTACTTCCTCGAGCTGCCGCCATCGGTGCCAAATAAAAATGTAAGAGCCACTCACAAACACACACACACACACACACACACGCACAGACACACACACGCACATACTCGTACACACAGAGAGGCACAAACGAATCCTTTGCATAAATGATGATGGCATGGCATGATGAGAACTTTTAATCATTATTATCACATATTTATACGCTTATATGAGCATGTTTTATGTACTCGTTCCCTTCGAAGAGGGGAGGTTTGAAGCGGGGAGCCGGAGTCGTAATCCTTTGAGTCTTCTCTGTGTGGTATCCCGTGTCCTGTTCGCCGAGGCATGCTTCATATGAAAGCAAAAAGCCACAAATGGCAGCGCAAAAAGCAAAAACAAAACAAAAGCCAAACACACACAGACACACGAATACCGTTTTGTTGGCCTTATTCTTATTGTTGCCATGAGAGTGCTCGTTGATGATGAGTTTCCAATTCGGCTGAGGCCACGCCCCCTGAACAAACTGGCAACCACTTGCACTTTTCGTTGTTGCTTTATGCTTTTTGCTTTTGCCTCAGCAAAGCCACAAACAAGGGTTGCTTTTCTCCATGTCCATGAGTGTGTCTGTGCCTGCGTGTGTGTGTGTGTGTGTGTGTGCGTGTGCGTGTGTGCGAATGTGTGGGTCTAGGCTTACGACGTATGTACTACAATAGCGCCAACACACACACATAAAAGTCAAAAGACTACGATAATGCGCACAAGTTTCTTTCTAAGCTTACATAACCAACGAACAGACCCTGCCGCTTTCTATTTACTCGTGCTCGCCCCTCTCTCAATTTCTTCCTCATCCTTCCCAACATCCTACTAGCTGAGAGACTGAGACTGAGAGAGAGAGAGAGAGGTGTCCTGGCAAGTAAATAAGTCATCATTGTCGATTGCGATTGTCGTCATCAACGGCGTCGAGGACAACTAATTTGCGGTCATAATAAAAGTTAATCTACTGACTCCTGCCCCCTGCCCCTGCCCTCCTGTGCGCTTTCTGTAACCAATTGCGTGACAAAATTGTGAAAGCAGCCCCGACGCAAGGGTTCTCACTTGAATAGTTAGTTGGTTAGTCGGATTTTTGGTTAGTCACTTAGTAAATGTGAGACATGTTTTGTTTTAGTTACCCTGCTAGGAAAATGGCGGTCTGGAATTCGGGCCACACATCGTCTCGAACCCTAATTGAAATTTCAAGTACTATGTACAAATATACGCATTTCCAGAAGAAACAATACTTAAATGAATCCAAAAAGGTAGAAGAATACAAGAAGCTTTTTCAAATCTTTTTTTATAAATCTTTAATATTTTATTTCATGATAAATTTGACAATGTTTTTAATTATATGGAATCGCATTTCCAGAAGAAACTATACTTAAATGAATCCAAAAAGATACAATAATACAAGAAGCTTTTTCAAATCTTTTTTTTATTTTATGATAAATTTGACAATGTTTTAATCATGCTTCTATATGGAATCGGTTGAAAAATGGTTGAATTCGAATATTTTTATTTATTTGCTGTTTGGAACGAAGACAAATACAAACAAAACAATAACAATTGGTCCGTCCGTTCTCGACCTATAAGTGTTCGAACAAACACCAATTTATGTTATATATATAAATAGGAGTAAATGTTTTTACCATTTATGAGTAAACGAACAGTTTCTAGTTTTTTCACTTTTTTTTTGTTACATTTTATGTAACAAAGTGGTATTTTTATCAAGAACCCATAGGTAATGAATTTGAATTAAGCACGTTTTCTTTCAAATCTTGACATACATTTTCTATACCCAGCTTTTTTTAGTGAATCGCTAAGCGACCTTTGATTTTTTGATACTGCCAGAAATTGGACAAATTCGGAGAAATTAATTAAAATGGATTTAAACGTCTTAAAGTCGAACACTTGGGTCTGCCTTCCGCACAAGTTGATTACACCTAATTCTGTTTGTACACTGTAGATTGGTTCCAGAAACAACCGTGTAAAAAAATTCATTGATCACGATCATTGATCATAAAGAAATATACATATGTATATGCGATTTTTAATTTTCAATCCGTGTTATATAAAAATCGTGTATAAAAAGATCGTGTAAAAACAGAATTACGTGTAATAACCTAATAACATTGCGCTCATGGGTTGACACTTGTTGCTGAAGTTTTGGACAAAAAACCGAATTTTAAACAATAGTCCTTCCCCTTATTCGGCTAATTTGACACCTCATAGCAATTTTTTGGGATCGAAATCACTCCTTTGCTTTGTTTGGAGTGTGTTTTGAGACAATGTCTAGCTGTAAAATCCAACATAACTGTAACAGTTACTCTATATGGGAAATGCCAAATAGCAATACTAAGAATTTTGATATTTTTTCAGGCGTTGCGAAATAATAGTTTTCTATAAAATCATTGCAACAAACAATTAATTTAAATACTAATATATAAATTTACAAAGATTCGTTTTTCTTTGATTTTTTGTAGATATTTAAGTCATTTCCGACGTCAGTATCGAAAGCTTATATTCGTTTACATACCTTATACTTTAAATTATATCTTTCTAAACACTTTTGTCTTAAGTTATTGAATAAATACTACTATATAGTACATCCATTGTCAAAACAGAATCAAATTAATGTTAATTTATTCCAACGCACATAACCATAATGCAATTTAGGATTTAAACAATAGACACAAATTTTCGAGAAAAAAAACTGACCCACTGTGCGAAGTACCGCAACGAATCCCAAAAAAAATCCAATAAGAAGCCAACACAAATGTACAAAATGGAGGCAAAACAAACAAAACAGAGCAAGCGTAACAGTTCAAGGCAGCGCTGCTGGAGTCAGCGTCGACGGCAGCGTCGACGTCGACGGCAACAAAACAAGAAAATTAAATTTTTATTGTTTTCACACAAATAAAATCAAATAAAAATGGTACAACAATAACAGAGCCTGCCAAGCGCCAGGAAGGTACACGCACACACACACACACACACACACACACACACACTGTTCAGCCGAATGGCAGTATATAAGCGCAGCATCACGTGCCACACACACGCACACAAATATATATAGATATATGTATACAAGTATATCGCGTTTGAAGCAGAGCCGAGCAACGACGACGACGACTGGGCAGGAGAAACAGACCAACCACCGCCGAGCAACCCCTAACTGGTGCACAGCCCCTGCAGCGCCAGTGAAGCGACGGCGGCGTTGCGACGGCTCCTGCCTGGTCCTGCAGGACCAGCACAGCAGCCTTCGCCGTCAGTTCGATTTCAACACTCGACGCGTACGCGACGCGCAGCTCGCGACTCTCCCAATACCATTCAGTGAACATTCGATCTCTGCAGAGATCTCGAAAGACGAACGTTTGACGAAAACGGCGAGCTTTCTTTCAGAGTGTTACGTGCGTGTGTGTGTGTGTGTATGTGTGTGTGAAATGTCCACCACATACCTTGTGGACAGTCTATTGCATGCACAGCGGCAGAGTTACAGTGAAGCTCAGCTAAAAACAAGCCTAAGCGAAATGTTGCTGAGTCGCAGCAGTGCCGAGGAGGCTGCCAATTTTGGCAGCACCGGCACCGCCGGCGGTGGTGGAGGTGGCGGTGGCGGTGGCGGTAGTGGTAGTGGTGGCGTCAATGCGGCCAGTGTTGAGCAACGCGTCGAACTGTGTTGTAGAGACTGTAGCATGACTGGTGGCTTTAAGCGTAAATGTGATAAGTGTCGTGAGAATCGGGCCGAGAGTGTGGGCAGCATCGAGGAAATGGAGGAGGACGACGACGACGAGGATGAGGATGAAATTGTCGCCGATATCGGTAGCATGGAGCAGGACGAGGATCTAGACGATGATCTCGCCGACGATGAAGTCGAGCTGGTCAATGTACAGAGACGCGTCACAGCCACGGCAATCAAATTGCCCAAAGTGGAGCCTAGGGAGACAACCACCACAGTGTCTTCTGCCACCACCACCATCCTAAAGGATAACAACAGCAAACCGATTCTAAAGTTCAGTGTGTCTGCCATTTTGGGCGACACACGCGAAGGAGTGCGCGTCAGGAATGGTAAGCGGCACTTCAATGACTAACTTGTAGCTTCTAGCATAGGCATTTAAATACCGCAGATATGATTATTTCCAAGTACATAAAACTATATTCTATTTCCATATAACACTAGACTAAGCACTGAACTCAAAGCCCAATCTCAAATTCCTGAAAACAACAACAGTCCTGTGGAATATAAAGTGTTTTAAGTCTAGTATAATAGTTGTGGCCAAATATTAATTCACAGTATTTTTTTGGAAAATGTTGAATTATTCATTTAATTTTGTTGTGACACTCGTCATTGGGATAAAATTATACAAATATTAGTAAAAATATTTACTTGTATATCACAACATTAGAAACACCCTATTAAGTAACAAATTGGATTCAATTTCGCCAATTGGAGAACTTATAGAACTCGATTTTAGTTCCTACCACAAAGGACAGGAACAAATTGATGATATTTGTTACTATCTGGTTGTTTGAAATTGAAAAAGGGGCTAATAACGTATATAAATTTTGACTTGTTGAGGGATATTTATTTAATTTTATTATTAGTATTTCTTTAGATATTTTGCATATAAATATTAAACTTTAGAGTATTTCATTAAAAATACTTTAAATATTTCCCGAAAACCCTTCCGAACTATAATAAATAGGGAATATTCCAAACAAACATTTTTTTTAAAAACTAACTGACAAATTTCGTTTTTAAACTACAAGTATTTTAATCTTAACATTTAAAAAGGAAGTTTCATAATTTTTTAGCAAATATATATATAATAATAATTAAATAAATTATTGAAAAATGAATTTTGCGAATAATGCGTGTTTTCGAAAATCCGATTCGATTGTATAAAAGAAAGTATTCTCAAGTTCGTGACATTATTTGATTTCAATTTCATTTCTTACACTTCATTACTCATTGAAAATATGAGCTTCTTGTGTTGTGGCTTAGCAATTAACTAAGTACTATCGTAAGGTATTATCTTTGATTTGATTCGATCGTAATCTGTTTATGTTCTAATGATATGATGTTTTGTGTTGTCCGCTTATAGATTCTTGTCTTTATACTCAATCATAATAAGTCCTGTCGGAATCTTTTTATGATCATGTTTATATTGAAAAGCAGCACCAAATGTTTATGATGGGTTGAAAAACTTCTCCCAATCTAATGGATATTCATTTCTCATTAAAGTTTAAATATACTTAAATATATATACTTCTGCAATCACAATTTGCTCTTATTTTCGACATTTTCAAATAATAATTTACTGCCAACATTTCAATCAGATTTTCAAAAGTATTTTCACACAAATTCTTCAAATTTTTCAAGTAGTTCAAAACATACATATATATTTTAGACAGATTAGTGTTATCAGTATTTTTGTAGCAACATTGTTGTTATGGCATTAGTTCATGGAATCGAGTTTATTTGGCAAATTTTGTGCTTCTCTGGCCGTAGCTTTATTTATTTATTTATTTATGCTAGACTGGACTAGCTTTGAGCAAATTAAATCAAGAAGAATTTCGCCATTCTTCATAGATGCCTCAAAATAGGAACATTGTATACGAGTTTTTGTTGTCAACTAGCAACAACGCTCTTATATGTATATATGCATCTTCAAATGCGGCAAATCACTTCTTCTCGTGTCTCTGTACGCACCTCAATAGCCCCATATACCTATAGATATAAATATGTATATTTGTGGTATGATAATAAAAGATATATATTAAATGGCAATAAAGACGGCTTGGCAATTAATTTGCCGTGCCTAATGCCTAAAATAAACAATAAAGAGTAGACGCAATGATATGCCATTCAGATTAAGTTAAAAGCCCAAAGAAAAACATTCATGTAATTAAAGCTAGAAAAGTTCCTAACAAAGGATGCTCGCAACCAACCAACCATCGAACCACATGGACAACTCGAATTTCAAAAGCGACAACAAAAGGACAAGGATACAATAAAACTGCTTTCGTTTTTTATTATTATTATTCAGGATTGTCTGCCTTGCTCTCGCTCTCGCACTCGCACACTTCCGCTTTCCCTGTCGCTATCCCTTTAATGCGCAACATCAGATCTAACAAATATTTTTAAGCCCCTCGAGGTGCGCAGGCTGTAAAAACACAACCAGACCTAATCATGTTTAAATTATTGAGCGAGCCCAACAAATCCTCTGGGCCATGAAAACAGCCCACCACACCGAATCCGCATAACCAGTTCAGTTCGAGATCAGAGTTTCGGCTCCAGCTTGAGCTCGAGCTCGTCCGTTGCGCCTGCGCGTGCGGCACGAGGGTTGTGGCTGCCACTGCCACTGCCACAGCCACAGCCACAAACAAAAAGTAGGCGTGACGAATCGGCTATCAGTCAATGGCACTGTTTCGCCTTTTCTGGCAATTTTTTAGCATCTGAATGCCAATTCTATTCGTTTTCTTTTTTGTTGCATTGTCTCCGACAGTAATAGCGTGGATTGTGGGATTTTAATTGTCATGCGATTAGTGTGTTTTTTATTAATGAGTGGGCTGTTTTTATGCCTATTTTTATGACACATTTTATGGGGTTTTTGTGTGGAATTTAGCGCCCATAAAAATTACGGCCTGATTCTGCCAAAGTCTTTAATGTGAGACGCGTGGCAAGGGTTCTCATATTCGCAATAAGTTCGATTATCAATATGTTTGATATACTGAATTGAGTGAAGGAATGACTCGTAAATATTAATAGTCTTAGACTGATAAGTTGCATTTTAACCCAAGTTATAATTTTTATGTATTCGATGCAAGATTTATTTAGAAGAGCATCAGTTAAAAGAATTTCCAAAGTGACTTACAATAATTGAAAATATAATTCGAAAGACTTATGTCTTTCAAAGCTGCAAAGTTATTTTCGAAAATTTTAAAAGATAAATTATTTGTTGTTCCTAAATAAATATGTTCTTTTAAATATGTTTCATTGTTATAAGCAATAGCCCTTCATTTTCCTGCAATTCAAAATTATTTTCAAAGTGCTTTTGAAGAATGAAGAGAGTTCGCTTTCGGGGATAGATGTTGATGGAGAACTCCATGCTATGATAAACAGGACGAACTTAATCGTCATATGGAATGAGCGACTGTCCGTCTGTATGAACACCGATAACTTTTAAACGATAACAGCTAGGGACCCCAAACTTGGTGTATTACCGCCTTATCAAATGTGCATAGCAAGTTTATGAAAAACAATATACAGCCTCATTGAAGAGTATTAACAAAATTATAATATTAATTTAAAAATTAATTCTTTATCCTCCAAAGTAATGATCGGTTCAAAAATCAGATCTTGTACTTAAAAATATGTTTAAAAGCATAAATACCAATACTTGGCTACCATTAAAATTTCAATTTTAAGAGTGAGATGACCCTACATATATGAAGGACATGAAGTTTTTCAAGATTGGGGCTGAATGTGGCTGTCTAACCATGTCTAATAATAATATCGAGCATCATTAAATGTTCAGCTCAAAATATTTTAGGTGCATTAAACATCTTTGGAATCATGTAATGTCAATTTTAAAAATATAATAGACTCTATTTAAATATTAATTGCAAGTGAGTTCAATTGTTGATTTATGGTGAAAGACAAAATGTAATTGCAATTTCTTAATACACTTCATTGGTTGTTAATGAACTCTGCTCACATCTTTTGACATTTATTATTTATTTATTATTTATACACTACACTTATAATAAATTCAATATATTTTTCTTAATGAACGAACCGATGAGTTCTTGTTGTTCTTTTCATGCAACATGTAACATTTGTGATAACTAGAAGAATATAAAGAAGAATTGGAGATATCCAAAAGGGTCTCGTTTATTGCGTACTCTTTCATACAAGTATCAGATGTGTGGTTAAATATAACTGAACAAGCGACAATCAAATAATCAAGAGCTATCAATCGCAATAATCTTAGTTTCAGATAATAGCCCACTAATAACTCATAGCTGTTAACACTGTAATTATATCATGCCTATAAAAATTATTTACACACAGACATACACACACACACACGCACACGGGCGCCTAACTTTTTCAATTGTCTTTCCATAATTACCACTCAAAACTAATTACAAACTATTGTGTTCAATCAATTTTGCATATTAACGCGCACAGTTCAAATGTTTTTATGTCCGACCACAAATTAACTTTTTCCGCCTGCTCTCGGCCCGAGGCACGAGTGCGTCTAATGCCAAAAACTTTGGTACGAAATGCCGGCGCCTATTTTCGGGGGGGATGGAAAGGCGGATACTAAAGTCAGAAAGGCGCTAAACAAAGCGAACAAAACGTACAATTATAACTTAATTTGTGCGCTCATTAGGCGCACATGTGGCGCGTACGCAAACACACAACACACACACACGCACACACACTAACACACATGAAAATGCAAAATGGAGGCGCCACACACACTTACACTCACTTATGTACGCACTCATAAAGACTAGTCACGTACACATATGGTTGGGGCGCCAAAAACTTTAGCCACAAAGATTAAAAGCTGGCATCAAATTAAATGCAGGATATCGCACACGCACACACACACATACTTGTAAATGTATACATATATTTCTATGTAAGTATGCGTGTGCTTGCAGACAAGAATGCAAAACTAAAGAGGCGTTAATACGTTAATTGTTTTAGTCTAATCGAATTAAAATCATATCCTGCAGCGGTTGTCAGTTTCTATTTGTGTGCGTGTGCGTTTGCGTGTGTGTGTGTGTGTGTGTGATGTGTATGTAAATGGCGTCTGTTCCTTTGGGTGTTTAATTACAAAATGAAATGCTCGCTGACGTTGCCAACCTCTGCCTTCCAACGATCCGGCTGAGGAATCAAAGGCGCAAAACTTTTGTTTGTTTTCCACTCGAAGTGAAAGCGTCGGCGCCCCAACAATGGCGGCTGTCAAGGTGTGTGGGTGTGTGAGTGTGTTTGTTTGTTTGTTTGTTAAGTTTTCAATGTGTCGGTGTTGGCGTCGTCGTCGCCCTCATTTTGGGGCCGGGGGCTGTTTAATTATGCCAACTTGACACTTCAAAGCAGCCCCCAACACTGTTCTCGACTGCAGGCGTCAGCCGGCGAACACAGACAAGACTCTCTGCTCATGCGACTGGCAATATTGTGGGTATGTATTGAAGAAATGACAGTTCAAAGTGTGTGTGTGTGGTTACACCTAAAGTTTCGAAGATGTGTTAAGGATCGTCATGCTAGAGTTATTGCCTTTGAAATGTTTGTGCAACCTATAGATTGCTTTGTACAATCTTGCAATATTGGAAGAAAAATCTAAATAAGCTCCGAATTTTGGAAGAAAACAAACAATAATTTGAAGATTGATTTAAAAAAGCATTTCATATTCCTCATATTTTCGAATTAATGATATGTATTTAGAATAGCTTCGACGAAGAAATAGTAAGTTTGCTTATAAAGTTACTCATAGGAATGTGTTAAAAATAAAAATTAGTGTCTTATTTTTATTTTTTCCCGAACAACCAAAATAAGCATCGAATAATTATAGAATATTGACAGGAGTCTTTAAATAAGCATCCGAGCTTGCAACACTCATAATTATGATATATTAGAAATATTTTAGAAAGACTTTACTGTAAAGAGCTGAGCTTTAAAATAAAGAGTTGCTATTCGCAGAATAACCGAAATAGGTTCCAAATAATTATACATAAAATATTTACAGAAGTCTTTTAATAAGCATAATTAATAATAATTAATAACATTGCACATTTTTGTGTAATACTTTACTATTATAATAATGTAGAATTATAGAATAAGGAACCTGAATATGAACAATAATTAACTAACTAAACTATTTTCTAGTTTAATTCTGCAGATGATTAGTAAAAGGGAAATACATTTTATATAGTTTATCTAATGAAATGTTCAATGGTTCTTGTGGATTATAGTTTTTCATAGATAATTTCTACATCTTCAATGGCTAAAATGAAATGCCTTTAGAACCCTATTAAAAATGTGTAAACAATTTATTGCTATGATAATGTTGCATAGTAGTTTGGATGGATATTCGAAGACATATTTAAAGCTTAGCAAATTTATAGAATTAACTATTTATAATGTATTTATAATTTACTAACATATATATATATATATTTTTTAATTGTTTATTTAAGATCTGTCCTAAAAGGACAATTATTAAATGAATTCATGTGCCTTGAGTAGTGGCATCTTACAAAATACAAGATTAAATTGGGCTTTGAAGATTAAATGAAAAATTATTTGAAATACTTTACAAACATGAAACTTTTATTGTACCTATCGTACTAGTTTATAAGCTGGATACAAGGTTGTTATTTTGAAAAAATATAGCTTTCAAATAATTCAATTCTGACTATGAAGAGGGAACATAAATATAGTATCTATTTTTAGGGCGGATAGCCTACTGAATATTTTGCATTTTTATGCTCTTATTTATCCACAAATAACACTCAGCTTTCTCAGTTGCTCCATTTCCTGTCTCGTTCGCAGAGTTTATGCAACCGCAGCATATATGGCCTTATCTACAACAAAACTTCATGCAACAGCACACACATCAATATCATCAACACCATCCGCCGCCGGGGCATCATCAGCCACACCATCAGACGCTGCCAGCGCCAGCGCCTCATCCTCATATGCACTTTCCGCATCCCGCATTTCTAACGCATCAGCATCAGCAGCCGCATCAGCATCAGCATCCGCATCAGCAGCCTCACGGCAATAGTTGTCAACCGCAAACCGCACTGACGACGGCCTCCTCGTCGTCACCTGGCAGCACAATTAGTGATAGCGACAACAATCACACCACCAGCAGCAACAACAACAACAACAATGGTAGTGGTGCTGGCGGTGGTGCGACCAACAACCATGATAGTCGACCGCATGAAATCGGCACTGCCGGCATTCCGGACAACGGCATCGAGGACAACAACAATCGAAGATTAACGCAAGAAAAGCTGCAGCAACAACAACAGCAACAACTGTTGCCTGGTCAAGCAACAGGAGGACCACCAACAGTGGCGACACACCTCACACCACCCCCGCAGCCGCTGCCCACACATCCGGGCATTGCCAAACCCATGCCCAGTCGACCCACGCCCTTTCTGCCCCACACTCTCAATCATCCGCATTTGCATTCGCTGCTGACCCACTGCCGAAATCCCTACATGAGTGGTAAGTAGTGAGTGCATGAGTGGGGCTAGGGGGAGGGAGAGGGAGAGGGGAACGCATCTAATGCGTTGTAATTGCTGCCTAACCCCCTCCCCCCCCCCCCCTCTCCGGCTCGTCCTTGTCATTAACAAATGTTATTGGCGCATGCATCAGTGGCACTGCACCGATGAGATGGGCTGAAACCATTACCCCCACTTAATGCATTTCCAACCCCTATTTGCAGTTGGCGCCCAAGTGTTTCCCCTGCCGCCGGGCCAAGGCTTTCCCTGGGCCCATTCGACTCGTGGCAAGCCACGCAGAGGCATGATGCGACGTGCCGTCTTCTCAGGTTCGTAGAATGGGAATTGAAAGCCTCCCTCTCCACATTCTCTCAATTCAAAACTGTTGCTCTTTTCCTCATGCTTCAGATTCGCAGCGCAAGGGTCTGGAGAAGCGTTTTCAACAGCAGAAATATATAAGTAAGCCGGATCGCAAGAAACTGGCCGAACGTCTGGGCTTAAAGGACTCTCAGGTGAGCTGAAAAAAACCACTCACTCATAGAAGTAGGCTTCGAAATCTCAATTCTTATGTATAACTTTTGAAAAGGACATCCCCATCGGGGGTATAGCTCAGGGGTAGAGCATTCGACTGCAGATCGAGAGGTCCCCGGTTCAAATCCGGGTGCCCCCTACCCATTCAACTTTTTGGCCACTTTATGTTCACACAGAAATTTCAAGAAAATTTGAAAAGAAACATCTACAACGAGTAGTACAAGTATATCTGAGATGTTGTATTATTTATCTCAACTATATTTACAATACACGAAATACTTTACGTATATTTAAATTAATGTTTTTCACCATGTGGACCACAATAGAAGTAATAATCTGAGACTCTTCCGTCCGTATGCATGAGCTCTGCTAGGTCTTGATTTGTAAGAGTCCTCGTTTCTTGCGGTTTTTGGGCGACTCCAGGATAAATTTGATTAGAAATGGAACTGCGGATTTTATAAATATTTGTAGCGGTATTTCTAGCGGTTTTTAATCAATTCTTTAATTGGATTTTCTTGTCATTTGTAATCATTTATAGTGGGGTTGCAAGCCTTTTTTCTTGGACTTTCTTGCTATGTATAACGGATTTTCTAAAGAAGTTTCTAGTCATTTTAGACGATATATTTTTTTCGATTACTGACAGCGATAACAATTTTCTAACCATTCATTCTAAAAAAAAATGGACTCAAATTAAATACTGCAATGTAACCAGTCGCCATGACACACATATTTTTATTTAGTATCTGTATTCCTAAATACAACTGACTCCTTATGATGGGTAGACTCGCATCATTATTATTATTATCATATTCTGGCATTAATCAATCAATCTCGATTGGGTGCGACTTTAACACATTAAATCAAGTTTTGTGATTGAAGTTTCAGACACATTCGGTCTGAAACTATTTTCTATCATTGTACTTATTCGTCTTACCCCACCGACCATCTTCACGATTCACATACGTACATATACACATATTTAAACCTTTATCATCACACTTCTACCAATAAACTTTGCTGGTTTTCTCTGTAAGGCCGCCACAAAACATTTACACACTTCTTCCAAGAAAAGCCAAAAATCAATAACAGCCTGGGACTCAGCTCGGCATAAACATTTAAGTTAGAATGCGTATATATCCGAATTATAAGGCGCACACAAGATTTCTAAAAACTTTTCAAATCCGCTTTAATAAGCGGCGCATAAATAGCAACAACAACAACAACAACAACAATGTCGTCGTCATTATAAAAATGAAATAAAGCCATGCAAAGTCGGGGAAAATAAAACTCCGCCCTTAAAATGCCAAGACACGCACACAATGTTCGAGAAAAGCTCTCAGCAATGGCTGCGCAGCAAATGGTTGGGCTGCGAAGAGGGTGTGGGGTGGCGGCTGGGGGGTTTTAAGCGGCAAGGGCGTGCTTCCTTTAAATGCGCAGTCGCTCGCTTGTCTTGACTCCCGAGTGTGTATGTGTGCATATGCATGTGTGTGTGTGTGTGTATATGTATATACATATATACATATATACTCGTATAAAGCACAGACAGAGCCATTTGCCATTTATGTTGTTGTTGTTGTTGACTGCGTTGGAAAATAATGAAATTATAACGAGCTATAAGAAATTCATTTCAGCCTGTCTGGCTGGCAGGCAGACAGCGAAGTCGGCGCCGCAGTCGCTGGCACTGCCGCTGCCTCTTCCTCTGCCCACTTCGATGTCAACATTAACGCTGCCCCATAATTAAATTAATTTTCGTAAAAATTGAAAAAAAAAAAAAAAAAAAAACGTTGGGCAGACAAAAGAAAGTAATGGGCAGTCTGGATTGTTTGGACCTCCATATCAGCCTGATTGTAGACTCGTAGACTTGCATTTATTCGGGAATTTTATTTTTTCGTTAAAAAACGTGTTTTGCTATGCAGAATAATATAATTTAGCTGATGGAGATATTTGGAAATTGACAAGTCTATATTTTGTGAGCAAAGGCAAAAAACGAAGGTTTGAAAAATTAGGAATATTTATTTCTTAAGCCTTTTGGGTTTTTAAAGAACGTTTTAAAAATGATGTTTTTAAATGATCTTCTTTTTAGTTTTTATATTTACGATTAGGATCAATGAGTTATATATATATATATGTATATATCGTGATCTTGTTCTTCCGCCTCCCCATTGTCAGTGTGTATAGATGCAAGCATCATGGAAAGTATAAAGGATAGAATAACCAATCTTGTTATTCATACAAGTATTTCCCTTAACCATAGGTAGGTGAAGTTTACGTTTTCTTTGTCTGGAACTATTTAAAGAAATTTGAGATTATAGCCATTATTGTAGACTCTGCCTTGCTCTACCAGCAGTTCTTGCCGTTGTTGTTGTTGTTTTCGTTCAAATCTGTACAACTATAGAAAAAAAAACCGCTGTAAAACGATATCTGATATTGCAACTGTGTATTCAAGTGGTAGGGTATTAAGAGTGCGAGCCGCACGACTCGAACATTGGCTGAACACTAATTGTCCGCATTATCGAGGGTATATTGTATGTGGATGGATAGACATTTTTTCACATGACTGCCAATTTGCGTGCCTAATTTGAAGTTGTCACAATGTAATCGATCACAACTCAATCACCCAATTACACATGCACGCACATTCACACACACACACACACACACACACACACACACATGTGCATTGTCACACCACTGATGGTGGCGGCACAGGATGTGGCAGGAACAGCCGTTGGCCTACAAACTCATGTCACAATGTCACGCCAAATTAGTGCAGTTTTCAGTTTTCATTCCTTCCCAGTCTTCTCTTTTCAGTTCATTCACAGCCGACACATATAATTCATAAAAATTTCATAATTACGCAATAAGCGTGTCCAGTTGCATTTGTCAGTCGAGGCACGAATTCATCAACTCATCGCATATGTCACGCCCCTTTTTTTGCATCAGTTTCCAGATTGTAAGCCAATCGATCAATTTCATTAATGATCTTATAATGCAATGCCGCCGGCAGCCACACGGCTCAACACATTCGCTGCCACCAGCAAAAGCTACAAGTATATATACATACTCGTAGTTGCGGAATTTTTATACAAATTTATGCATAGGCACTAGTATATAGTATTCGAATACAACCGCAACTTGTTTAGTAAAGCATTATTTAATAAGCTGTTGAATCAATTATTTTTATATTGCAGTGCCCGATTCGTCTTTGTAAACAATTCAGAGCTTGTTTACAAATTCAAACTAATTATGGGTTATCGAAATAAGTAAATTTTCCAGAACTCAAACACTGATTGAAATAATTGATTTAAATTTGAAAAGTGGCTTATGGGACAGCAAAGATTTTTTAGGCCCATATGGCTTACAACGGAAACAGAAACAAGCCTGCTTAAGAATACTATTCCCTACAAAAAAAAAAAGACAAATTAAAAGTTGAGTTGTCCTCGTGTTCTCAATATAAGTGAATATTTTAAAAATCGCGTTAATAAAAAAAAATAATCATTACATATTGAATATGAGTGTGCTTCCCATTTCCGTACTTAATGTTACGGATTTATAAACACACATACTTTGTATTTACTCAACAATACATTTACGAGACTTAGTATCTGTATTGGCTTAAGGACTTGGACTAAGGACTTGGGAGTGGACGGAATCCAATGAATTTTGGTGGTCTTTACTTTTCACTTCACCCTAAAAAGTAGAACTCAGTATAAACAGCAAAACAAGATAGTTTTTTAAATTATTTTGAATGATTATTGTTATTATTTTATGTTGCATGATTTGGCATTTTATTAAAGTTTGAATAGAGTATAAAACTACTTGTATAATGATTTTACGATCATTGTTCCAGTAAAAGTTTAAAGTATGGATTGGCCACTAGAATTCAAAACATTCATCAAAAACACTTTGTCAAATGTGAAAATGTGAAAATGAAAATGTCGTCGAGCTAAAACAAAGCCACGAGGACTCAATAAAAAAAAAAATGAATCCAAGAGTCGTTGAAAAAAATGTGCAAAAATGTCAGAAAAATTCGCAATCAGAACGCAGCGGGTGTCCAGCAACGATGGCCGGCTCTCGGGCTGGCTGGTCGGTCTACGTCTGAAGGCCGGGCACTGGACAAAAGGTGGGGAACAGAGGGTGGGGAACAAAGTGTTGGCTAGCCGGCGGGCATTGCGACACGAGCTCCATTAACGGCTGCTGCAAAGAGCGAGAAAGGGAGAGTGGGAGTGGGAGCGAGACTGGGAGCGAGAGTGGGGAGCTGAGTGTTTATGTGTGTGAGTGTCACAATTTGAAAGAGTGCGGATATTCACACTCAAGTGAAACACGCACACACACACGCACACACACAGACATACTCGAGCAGTTTGAAAGGCAATGGATGTTCGTGTGTGTGCGTTTGTGCATTTGTGTGATTTGGTTGCATTGCAGCGTGCGCCGAACAGTATGCAATATGATTTAAGAGCTTCGCTTGCATTGCACTTTTTTGCGGCTCTCAATGCTCCATTGGATTCTTGTTGTTGCCGTTGCTGCTGCTGCTGCTGTTCATTTGCTGCATGCCACTGCCTTTTGTTTGTACGCGCACACGCCCATAAATATCAACACCGCAAACTGTCATTGGTTTGGGCATTTGGCCATTGCAGCAATGCGCCTAAAAGGCTGCAACACGGCCTGGCACAGGCACAGGCACAGTCACAGGACGATGCCTTTGCCGCCAGCTCGCGTGCCTTGCGGTCTGGCAGCCGCAAAAGTGACAAACGTTGCATTGATGGCGGCACACAGGTGATTCATCATTTCGAGTGTTGTTCATTGCAACGTTTATTGCGTTTTTAACAAACGCACTCGAAAAATTGGCGCCTGCGAATAATGAAAGAGCTCCATTTTTATGGCATTGCATATTTTTGTAGTATTTTTGAGATGCATTTTCTATACATTTTTGAATTCGTTACCCGAGATGAATTGGCAATTAAGTCATTGGATGTTC